ACGCTATCGGGACCTCTACTCTACATCTACCTGAAAATATTTACAAAACAGTGCTTCTCTCTTAAAATTATGAAAGGCGGTTCAATATTCAAAATTTAGCGCCAAACGCCAGGATTTTATCTTTGCTGCTTTTCTCTGGAATGTTCTATTAAAAAGTGATAGCTTCAATGAAATTAAAAAAGAACTTTCTTATAGCCGTAGATCCGAGCCGATTAGAAAGTACATGTATATTTAACACATTTTACAAATTCCATATTGTATATATGCATGTAACACTAAAGCAGTAAAACGGTTATGATTTTTTAACTTTTTTCAATTTCCTGTTTATTCCCAAAGTGAACTATCCCGATAAGTTAATCGAAAAAGGTTGAAGAACATGGCTCTCCCTACGACGGTCAAGGAATAAGATATCATTAATGCTCAATAAGTTGAATAAAGTCTTTGGGATAAGAATGCTAAAATAAACTCCATGCAGCGATCTTTAAAAAAATCGTTTTCTTATTTTTGTCCTAGTTATTAGTTTAATATGAAACAAGTGTGAATATAAAAAAAAACAGTGGTTAAGATTTAAACTTGCAATATAACATGATATTCTTTTTTGAGAAAGTATAAATTATAAGTATGATTTAAGATCTGTTTTTCCGTGATGCACAAAAGATATAAGATATCAAATTTCATTTGCACATTTAGTCTTTTCATTTTCTACTTTGAAACTAGCCAAAACCAATTATAGAAGACGTTAGTTTGACATAGAACTGCAACGTAACAACAACGTGACAATCGAAGTATTCCTTTACATTTCATTTATCCTTATCGTTTAAGCAAACGCTCTGCTGCCCCATTGCGAAATACCGGAGACAGCCGCCAGTTTGGACCCGCTTCAGATTTTCGAATGCTTATATCTGGAGTTTAGATTTATCAATATTCAAACAAATTATATAATAAGCATTATAAGAAGAGTCTCTATTAACATACCAAAAATAAATGAAAAATATTGAAAAACAAAAAAGTTAGAAAATACACTTTTTTTCAATGTACACCTGGTAACGACTGGAAGTAATGACGACGCACGAAAAGGCGATTCTGCAAACCACAAAGTCATGATCTATCATCTCCAATAAGTCTCCAGTTCATATCTTCAGCCTTTTTCGCTAAATGTGCGCGACAAAATCGCATTTTAAAATCAGGAAATCGTCCATAACTTGGCACCAAAAGCGAATTTACCAAAAATACTTCGGCATGCACAATTTCATGTTATGACACATTTTTTGTGAAAGTTTCATCAAAAAGCGCTGAATAGTTTTCGAGAAATCGCCTGCACAAAATTTTGTCAAAAAAAAGAATAATAATAATAATAATAAGAAACAATAGAATCACTATAAGGTCTTCCGTGAAGACGGAAGACCTTAATAATAGAGAAAAAGAAACCGAACGAAAACAATAAGGTCTTCCGTTGGAGACGGAAGACCTTAATAATAAGAAACAGAGTAAAAACAATATGTTCCCAAACTCCGTTTTGGGGAACATAAAAAACAGAGTAAAACAATATGTTCCCCAACTTCGTTTGGGGAACATAATAAGACATAAATGAGTTTCAGCTATTATTATGATTGCATCATTCAGGGTTACTATAAACCATTCAAGTGAGTATAAATATATATACTTATATCTTTATATATATTTATTTCAGGTTCTGTACTGGAATGATACCGAGAAGACGGACAGCAGCATATTTGAACTAACAGAAAGAGAAATCAATACAGACATCAAAGAAGGGAATTTATTTTTCAAAGGTATGTGAAAAAAAAATTTCTAATATCATTTAAAATAAACATTGAGCTGATTTAGAAAAAAAAAATTAATTTCTACTTAAAAATGAAAATTCCTATTTTAGACACAGGAGCAAAATTGGATCACAGTTATAGCACAATTTGAAGCAGACTATAAGGTATGCCTTACAGAGTTACCTTCAAAATGTTATTAAATTTTTTTGGAGTTATTCCTCTTTGGTAACATTAGTGGTTTAATTTTATCTATATATGGATCTAATTTACATATTAATTAGCAAACATCCAATGAAAATCTCTTTATTTATAACTAAGTTACACACATACAAATAATATTATTGTGCTTTAGAAGTAAAATACTCTTTTTTAATTTTTAGGTGGAATAGCTATTTATATATTCTATGGTACTTTTTGCAGCTGTTGTTGTTTTCCTAGCTTATATACACACAAGAAAGAAGTGTCTACAAATGCTAAGAATATGAATATATTTCAAAACGCGTGATATTGCTGACATTAGAACAACAGCTGTCTTGTTAGTGCTCATGGTTAACCGTTCGTGTTCAGTAACGGTCTGAATGTAAGCCCATGTGTGGAAAATGAAAAGGGGTGTTTCTATGATTATAAAAGAACACGAATATGGTTAAACAATTAGGTGAAATAATACCAAAAAGAATATAACACCTAGTTAACTTAGTAACTAAAGTTTTAAAATTTTATTCCTACTTTCATTTTCAATTTATAACATTCCATGTACATACTACATGCATTTGGCAAATAAATAATAAGCTAGAGATCTAAAGTGCATTTTTATTTTTTCATTTATGTGTAGTATCAACACCCTGGGGACATCAAAACAGTTGATGACACATTTTGGAATTATTTTTCAAAACTTTTTATAATATTAAAATGTGCATGTAGTTTTTCATCAAGTCTTTGGATTGAGTTCTATAATGGTCATTAATGTACATGCATGCATATTGATGAATTAATTAGCAGAACCAGGCATAAAGTAGATGAATATGCACATACTGTTTCTAAAAATAATGATTTGTCTTGACCTTGCAGTTTAAATGAGAAAGTAATTATATATGTAGTATTCATGAAAGGAAAACAGAAAAACTAAATAGAAGAACATGTCTGAATAGTTTGATCAGCACAAGAAGTTAAGATAGGCTAAATCATTTCATCTGAGTACAGACTTTAAAATAAAATTGATATACATGTAACATCAGAGGGAATCTTCCATTACCCGGTAATACTAGCTGTCGTGCACATATTCAGAGTTCAAATTCTCAGTCTGGTCATCTCGAAAAAAAAATTTGATTGCCCTGTCCCAACCAACTGGCTAAAATGACTCAAAACTTTTTTTTTTTATCTCCAGGAAGCAATGAACTTTTTTTGTATTCTGGAGAACACATTATTAATTTATAATTACTGGTAATTTTTCTGAGAATAATTTTCTCATCTACCTATATACCAACCTAATCCTAAGTTGGGAGAGGGCAGGCCTCAACAGCATTGTTTTTTTCTGTGAAGTCCTATACTGCTTAAATGTGAACTTAATTTGAAAATTTCTGTTTCCTTAATTCCAAGATTTTCAAATTTTTCATTTAAAGTACTTGTTTTTAAAAACCGTAGAGCATAATTAAAATATTTTTGTTTGATGTACCCTGACACACAATTTTTCAAGGTGGGTAGGTAGTTATCTTTTTTTTGGTTAAATAATATTGATCAAATTGATATCAAAGTGTCATTAAAAAATTCCAGACTCGACAGAATTTTATTAATATTTTCAATACACACTGGATATCTAGACAGATGAAATATATATTGTTAAAAAATTATTAATCTAAAAGCATCCAATAGAAATCACATACCACAATTTGAAAAGGAAACAGTATCTATTTCTAATAAATAAAACAATTTTTTTTTTAAATCAAAAATTCAAAGTGCTGAAAAAATGATTGGGTTGGGGTATTTTTGATGGGTCAGTCTGAGTACATCAAAGAAATTTGTTTACATTGTTGCCCTTATTTGCTAGTACTGTATTTGGTTGACTTGAACTTTGACCTACTTTACAAAGATACCCCAGAAACTTTAAATTAACTAAAGACTTTTGAATATTGAGTGATGTATGTTGATAATTAACATTAATTTTATACATGTTTATGAGCTCATAAAACTGTTCTTTTAAACTATATGATATTCAGTAAACCACAAAAACTGATATCTTAATATTATGAAAATACATTGGGATGGAATCTCACAAAGTGGATCGTGCAATGTGACAATTGCTTTGAAACATGTAACACATGTAAAATGATAAATAATTATTTATGATGATTTCAACTTAATTATTCAGTTGAGGGTTGCATTCTGTATATGCTAGTAGCATAAAAATAGCTGACCACTCTTAGATTTTATAGATACATCTTTAAAGAAGCTAAAAGCAGGTGACATATGTGTTCCTTGGAACACTTTAGTTTGTAATGATATTGATGTCCTGTACTCTTTTATAACACTTTCTCTTCTTTCAGCAATGTTAAGCTTGATTTAGCCACTGCAGTATAAGGAGAGAAGCAGACCAGAAACCCTGACTAAAGTAAAGATGATTTGCATAACAAAGGCAGTAAGTTTACCATATAATATTCAAGATCTTCAAAATATCCCGTCTCTTTTAAATACATGTATTGAGAATGATTTGTTGAAGCTCAGCACCTGTCAGATGTGAATACATGTTACATTTTTCCCTCATCATTCGTAATCTTCTTCCAAAGAACTACTGGCCAGAAAAGTTGAAACTTATGCAGAAGCATCCTGGGGTAGTGTAGATTTTAAATTATTTAAATTATGACCCTTTGGGGTAGGGTGGGACTACAATAGGGAACCCAACTTTTACATTGAAATATACAAGAAAAATCTATAAAAAAAATCTTCTTCTTTGGCATTACCAGTACTAGGCAAGCAAAGCTGAAACTTATGCAAAATCATTGTGGGGTAGTCTAGATTTTAAATTGTTCAAATTATGACCCCAGGGGTTAGGACAATGCATCGTCAAAGCTATTCAGATAATTATAAGTGATGTGGCTCAGGAGCCTCTTGTTATATAAGTTGTGATATTTCACAGAAAATTTGAGAAAATATTAACTGCAAATCTGTGTCTAAGCACCTGTAATACTGCACTATCTCACCATTTGAAAGAATAAACAAACA